TTCCTCCAGAAGAGGTTTTTTGTTAGCATTTTTTTAAAGCGTTCTTCCGAAATTTATTCAAAAACTTGCTAGTTTCACTTTGATTTTTTTAACTCAAGTAGGGTAACTCTGTTCGCAAAAGGTGCGCTTTTGCGAAGAGGGCGCCACTGAATTTTGCGGACACTTTTTTAATTTGCTCAAATAGTGAAGTGGCCCCTCTTGTTATGTGGACTCTTTGCTGGAGTGTGAGATTTAATATATTATTTTTGTGGCATCGTGGTGAAAGTAGGGGCTCGCAAAATAATGGAATCGACGAAACCGACATTTTTTCCGCAAGTTGAGCGATTTTGTTTTCTCTCTCAACACTTTTTATGTCCTTTTAAAAACACATTTCTGTGTGAATTTACTGAAAAACGTTGATCAAAGGCACGCAATATGTAAATAAGCAGTTTTATAGGACACTCAAGCGTTTAATGTCCCTAAACTTGAGCAGCCATTTCCTCACTAATTTTACCTCTGACACCAGGCGACCCAACCTCATCCAATAACAAATATATCGACCTCTATCCAAGATAAATAGGTATTTTTCGATCAAAAGCAAGAAAAACAAACAAGCTTTAAGACGGTACTAAAAACTCAATGTGCCGTAAAATTGACGAGCATCTGATTTCACAGTATCGTGTCACATTTGGTATTCTTACCCAAATCTACCCCAGTCTCTCAATCTGGGTGGCTTTTGTTGATTCTGCACGACATGTCAGACTAACGCCAGATTTACAGGGATGTGTTTTATCAATGCTCAACCCCTCCCCCCCCCCCTCCAAAATAAAACAGGGCAGTGCTACTGACTGAAGCTGTCTTTAGGCTATTCCCAAAGGGGGGGGGATTAATATGTTCTTATGCACAGTAGATTTGTAAATGGGCTGACTTACCAATGTCATGCTCATACTGTTCCAGAACAACATAATGGGAATAGTTGCTTTTTCTTTCCTCGTCCTTTCTATCGTCATTTTTTCTCTACTTTTTTGTATGTTTATCACTCTCTTGTGAACTGCTATTTCCGGGGTGCCTTGATAGTCGAAGCAGACTTTGTGCTGTAAAACCTTACTAAAAACCAAAACTAACCCAATGCCCAGTTAAGTTGCTCTGCGTATGTGGTGAAGCTGTGGGCGTCGTCGAACCCAGGAGAACAGAGTTCGAGTC